CAGATGCCTGCCACTTTGCCTGCCTAATTTTTTGTATTTTTAGTAGAGATAGGGTTTCACCATGTTGGCCAGGCTGCTCTTTAACTCCTGACCTCAGGTGATCCACGCACCTCAGCTTCCCAAAGTGCTGGGATTACAGGCATGAGCCACTGTGCCCGGCCCTGTGGTTTTAATTGAGCACTTTATGAGATTAGGTTTCTCTTTTCTTAGCATATCAATTATACTTTTTTTTTCACTTTTTTAGTGGTTACCCTAGAGTTTGCAATCTACGTTTACAAGCAGTCCAAGACTGCTTTTAAATAGCACAATAACAACACTACCACTTCACAGATTGTACAGTACCTTATGATAACGAAGTACTCCTAATTCCATCTGCCTGTCTGTTGTATTTTCAGTTCACATATACATTGCTGTCCTTCACCTCTTTTTTTTTTTTTTTTTTTTTTTTTTTTTGAGATGGAGTTATGCTCTGTTGCCCAGACTGAAGTGCAGTGGCATGATCTTGGCTCACTGAAACCTCTGCTGCCTGGGTTCAAGTGATTCTTGTGCCTTAGCCTCCCCAGTAGCTGGGATTACAGGCACATGCCACTGTGCTCTGCTAATTTTTGTGTTTTTTGTAGAGACGGGGTTTTACCATGTTGGCCAGGCTGGTCTTGAACTCCTGACCTCCAGTGATCCCCCTGCCTTGGCCTCCTAAAGTGCTGGGATTATAGGTATGAGCCACCATACCTGGCCTAAAAGTTTTTAATTTGATGAAGCCCAGTTATCAATTTTTTCTTTTCTGGGTTGTGCTTTTTTTTTTTTTTTTAGTTGAAATCGCCATGTGGTGCCACCACACCTGGCTAATTAAAATGAATTTTTTTTTTTTTTTTTTTTAAGACGGTATTGCTATGTTGCCCAGGCTGGTGTCTAACCCCTGCCCTCAAGCGATCCTCCTGCCTCAGCCTCCTGAGTTGCTGTGATTACAGGCATGATCTACTGCATCTGGCCAGAAAATATTTTATTTTTAATCAAAGTAGTATATGGACACAATTTTGAAAAGTCAACTAATATGACAGACTTAATGTAAAAAACTGCTCTACCACCCTCCCCACTCCAGAGTCCTTTTCCACAGGGGTGGCCACTTTCTTTTTCTTTCTTTTTTTTTTTTTTTTGAGACAGAGCTTTGCTCTTGTTGCCCAGGCTGGAGTGCAGTGGTGCGATCTCGGCTCACTGCAACCTCCACCTCCCGGGTTCAAGTGATTCTCCTGTCTCAGCCTTCCAAGTAGCTGGGATTACAGGCACCGGCTGCTACACCCAGCTAATTTTTGTATTTTTAATAGAAACAGGGTTTCGTCATGTTGGTCAGGCTGGTCTCAAACTCCTGACCTCAGGTGATCCACCCGCCTCGACCTCCCAAAATGCTGGAATTACAGACGTGAGCCACCGCACCTGGCCACCACTTTAAAATCTATAAGCTGTTGCTTTGTGCTATTTACCTCCTTATTTATTTATTTAACTTGAGATAGAGTTTCACTCTGTCACCCAGGCTGGATTGCAGTGGCACAATCCCGGCTCACTGCAATCTCCACCTCCTGGGTTCAAGTGATTCTCGTGCCTCAGCCTCCTGAGGAGCTGGGGTTATGGGCATGCTCCAACATGCCTGGCTAATTTTTGTATTTTTAGTAGAGATGGGTTTTCACTGCGTTGGCCAGGTTAGTCTTGAACTTCTGGCCTTAAGTGGTCCACCTACATTGGCCTCCCAAAATGTTGGGATTACACCACACCTGGCCCTGCTTCCTTATTTATAACTAATACATTTTTACTGTTTTTTGATTTACTAACTTTACATATTTTCTATTGAGCACTACCTATTATGGAAGATGAAGGTTTAGCAGTCATAGACCACCAATCCTGCTTCTTTTTCCGGAATCTTTTGAGAGTTAACTCACAATTTTTGGTTAAATATTTAGTATTTATATCATAGTGATTATATAAATACTGATTACTGTTGAATTTAGTCATATACTATGATTACATGACCTTTCTTAAATAATTTCTGTTTTTCCCAAAGTATGTAGTCTATACAAAATTATTTACTTTATTCTCCATATAACTATTATTCATTGCTTACAAATTCTCCTACAGTGTTGTAACATTCCACAGAGTAAGGTTAGACACATCAAGTGAACTGTCAGTTCTATGCTTTCTTCTCCTGGAGATCCGCGAGCTGTTTTGACTCTTGTCCCAGCCTGCTGCGTGGCTGTGATTCTCTATACCACTGCCCTGTGTTGGATCCCTTATTTCTTGAATTTCTTATTTTTTCTTGGCTTACTCCCTCATGTGGAAGGAGTACATCTTGTAGCTTCCTTGTAGGTTCCTGGGAGGTCTTTTGAATCTTGGCAGATCAGAAAATGTTTTTATTCTACTTTCAAACTTAATTGATAGCTTGAAAAGCTATAGATTTCTGGTTAAATTATTTCCTTTTGGCCAGGCTCAGTGGCTCATGCCTGTAATCTCAGCACTTTGGGAAGCCAAGGCAGGAGGATTGGTTGAAGCCAAGGCAGAAGGAGTTCGAGACCAGCCTGGGCAACACAGTAAGACCCGATCTTTACCAAATAAAAAATATTAGCTGGGATTTGGTGGCATGTACCTGTAGTTTCAGCTACTTAGGAGGGTGAGGCGTGAGGATCTCTTGAGCCCAGGAGTTTGAGGTTACAATGAGCTATAATCACGTCATTGTACTCCAGCATTGTACTCAGCAACAGAGTGAGGCCCTGTCTCTTCAAAACAGAGCAAAACAAAAAACTGTTTTAATACTAGTGCTAGCTATGAATAAATCCATAATATTTTTTGCGAGTTTTAAAATCTTATAAATGACAGCATACCATATCTATTAGGTAGCCTGCCTTTTTAAAAAAACATTTTATATTTTTGAGATGTATCCATTTAGCTCTGTTTCATTCATTTTCACTAGTGTATTATGTCCCCTTATAATTTTGATAGCTTAAAATACTATTGTAAGTTAGGAATTTATATATTTCAGAGTTTTTTTTTTCTTTTTTTCTTTTTTTTGAGATGGCGTCTTGCTCTTGTTGCCCAGGCTGGAGTGCAATGGTGTGTGTGATCTTGGCTCACTGCAACCTCTGTCTCCTGGGTTCAAGTGATTCTCCTGCCTCAGCCTCCCTTGTAGCTGGGATTACAGGCATGCACCACCACGCCAGACTAATTTTGTATTTTGAGTAGAGGGGGTTTCTACATGTTGGTCAGTCTGGTCTTGAACTCCGGACCTCAGGTGATCTGCCTGCCTCGGGCCTCCCACAGTGCTAGGATTACAGGCGTGAGCCGCCGCGCCTGGCCTTCAGGGTATTTCTTTTATAGCATTTTCTAATTGGGCTTAACAAGCCCTACTTTAAGAAATTAAACCTTATGATTAGCTGGCTTAATATAGAGGCTTAATTGAAGCTGAATTATTATTCATTTGAAGTTGAATTGAGTTATTGGGGCCCCTGTCCCCTTGCAGGAAGGGTGAAAGTAGTGGCTGGCCTCAGGTTCAGGGGCAGGTGATGAGGAACTAGATCAGTATTTCTCTCTCAGATTCGGAAGACCCGGCTGTCCATGTGCATCATCGGGGAAGCCTCTTGCTCTCTGAATAAGCAGCTCAATCCAGCTTCCAAATTCTGACCATGGCTTCAGTGCCTTTGTGGAATGAGGAGGGACATGAGGAAGAAAGTGAGTCACTAATGTACATTCTCACCTGAGCTGAGCCACCTTTGGTCCCTGAGCCCATGTAGTTTCCTTTCGTTGTGATTGTAATTTTAAAATAGTATAATTTATTATTTACCTTATCACCATTTTGTTATTCAATGGGAGACCTTTTCTGAACAAATCAAGATAAAACATGATCTAGAAGTGTGTTAAATGTGATTTAAGGAAGACAGTGATTCATATTTGTAACTAAACTATTAGTTTTCTTCCCTTAGTGACTGAGAACAACCAATACTGACTTTTGAAGAGCCTCGTGGATACTAATTATTTATTCACTCGCTTGTTCTTTCAACATACTGTTTAGGGAATTTTTTACATGCTAGTCTAGACAGTGGGCATAGAAAGATGAATAAAATAATTCCTGTCATAAAAATGTGCATGGTTTAGGAGAAGAGGCATATCAACAAAAACTACGTATATGCCCTATGGCAGAATGAGAGAAACATTAAATGTGATTCCTTTATAACTGGGATCTCTTTCACTTGAAGTGGGTAATTCAGGTTTGTCCCCATGACCCCCATAAGTAGGGGCAGCACGTGGTAATTACTTGAGCTATATTCCCTTCCTTGTACATTCAAGCCATCCGGATTTCTGTATTTCTTTGTCACCATTGTTTTGGTTGTAAAACAGCTTCATTTTCAGACTCATTATAAGTTAGATTATTATGATTTTGCTTTGAGACATTTTCTTGGGTAGAGATATGCCCATCCTAAGATACATAGTACAAATGCCATATAGATTTGGATTTTTGTGTTTGTATTGGCTAAGACAGGTGTTAGCTCCATATTCTTTTTCTTTTTTTTCTTTTTTTTTCTGAGACGGAGTCTTGCTCTGTCGCCAGGCTGGAGTGCAGTGGCACGATCTTGGCTTACTGCAACCTCTGCCTCCTGGGTTCGTGTGATTCTCCTGTCTCAGCCTCCCGAGTAGCTGGGACTACAGGTGTGTGCCACCATGCCCAGCTAATTTTTGTATTTTTAGTAGAGATGGAGTTTCACCATGTTGGCCGGATGGTCTCAATCTCTTGATCTCGTGATCTGCCCGCCTCGGCCTCCCAAAGTGCTGGGATTACAGGCGTGAGCCACCGTGCCTGGCCTAGCCCCATGTTTCTTGTAACTTAGTATCTGGTGTCTAATATATTTATAAATACAGACAGATGTGATTTTCTTTAGTAAGTTTACAGTTTTTTTTATAGGTAGACAAAGAATGATGACTTTTGAACAAGTTTAAAGTTTTTTTATTTTTATTTTTTATAGGTTGTCTTGTGGAAATGCAGGTTTAAGGACAAGTTATCTGCTTAAGGTAGAAGATGGGATCAAATAGCAGCAGAATCGGCGATCTTCCTAAAAATGAATACTTGAAAAAGTTATCAGGCACGGAATCTGTCTCTGAGAATGACCCGTTCTGGAATCAGCTTCTCTCGTTTTCTTTCCCTGCACCAACTAGCAGGTAAGAGATTGCCTGGAGATTGAAAATTTGGATAACGGGCCATATCAACTTGTGTGGTATGCGGATTAAAAAAAATTTTAGAAATGTTCTATCTGGTCTGTCATACATAAATCAGTAGAAAATCCAAAAGATTTGAAAGTAGAAAATAAGCTTTTCTCTTCTTTTTACCCCACTCACTAGCCACCTCCCTTCTCTAGAGGTGAGCACTGGTGGCAGTTGATTTCGAATCGTTCTAGAGATAGTATAGGTTACTTAAGCATATATCCCATATAGTTTCACAAAATTGTTTAAATACAAATGGTAGCATACTACAAGTACTGTTCTGTCCCTTGCCTTTTTTCCCACAGTTAAGTAAAATATATCTTGTATATGTAGCACATATGCAACTGCCTTATTCTTTTTAATGACTGTGGAGTATCTGTAGAATATGTTTAATTGGTTTTCTGTTGATGAACATTTAGATTATTTCCAGTCTTTTATAACAGTTATTGCCACATACATCATTTCTTATACACACAAATATATCTTCAGTATAAATTCCTTGAAGTACAATCGCTGGGTCAAAGTGTATGTGCATTTGCAATTTGGTAGCTATGCCAAGTTGTGCTCCATGGAAGTTGTAGGAATTTACACACCTACCAGCAATGCATGAGAGGTGTGTTTCCCCATATCTTTGTCAGTTTGATGCATTTTTAGACTTTTGACCTTTGCCAGTTTTGGAGGTGAAAAACAATATCTCATTTTTAATTATATTACAAAAACTGATAGACAATAATGTAGAATGACTAGAATATTGAATTCCTATACACTCAATAACTAGATTTTAAAAAATTTTATTTACTTTTTAAGAGCTTTATTATGATAGGCAGAATAGTAGCCCCCGAAAGATGTCCATATCTTTGTCTGCAGAATCTGAATATGTTACATTACATGGCAAAGGGGAATTAAAGTAGCAAATGGCATTAAGGTTACTAATCAGCTGACCTTGAAATAGAGAGGTTATCCTGGATTATCTGGGCAGGCCCAATGTAATCACAAGGCTTCTTGAAAGTGGAAGAGGGAGGTGGAAGAGAAAGTCAGATGTGATGTGAGGAGGACTCAGCCTGCCCTTGCTGGCTTTGAAGATGGTAGGGGGTCATGAGCAAGAAATGTGAGCAGCTTTGCCGGGCGCGGTGGCTCGCGCCTGTAATCCCAGCTGTTTAGGAGGCTGAGGCGGGTGGATCACGAGGTCAGGAGATCGAGACCATCCTGGCTAACACGGTGAAACCCCGTCTCTACTAAAAATGCAAAAAGTTAGCTGGGCATAGTGGCGGGCACCTGTAGTCCCAGCTACTCTGGAGGCTGAGGCAGGAGAATGGTGTGAACCCGGGAGGCAGAGCTTGCAGTGAGCTGAGATCACGCCACTGTACTCCAGCCTGGGCGACAGAGCGAGACTCCGTCTCAAAAGAAAAAAAAAAAAAAAGAAATGTGAGCAGCTTCCAGAAGCTGGCAGAGGCAAGAATGCAGATTTCCCTCTGGAGCCTCGGGAAAGGAATGCAGCTTTATTGACATCTGGATCTTAGCTCATTGAGTGTCAGACTTCTGACCTACAGAACTGTAAGATAATAAATTTATGTTGTTTGCACTACTAAATTTTGATAACTTTTATAGTAGCAATAGAAAAATAATACACTTTTTGAGGTATGTTTCATATATCATGTAATTCACCCATTTAAAGTGTATTATTCAGTGTTTTTATTCACAGAATTGTGTAACAATCACCAATTTTAGAACATTATAATCCCAGAAAGGAGCCCTCTCCCATGCCCATTAGCAGACATTCCCCCAAACTCTAGATTGCACTAGCAACCACTTATTTATTTATTTATTTATTTATTTATTTATTTATTTATTTTTTTGAGAGGGAGTCTCAGTCTGTTGGAGTGCAGTGGCACGATCTCTGCTCACTGCAAACTCTGCCTCCTGGATTCAAACAATTCTCCTGCCTCAGCCTCCCGAGTAACTGGGCCTACAGGTGCATGCCACCACACCTGGCTAATTTCTGTATTTTTTGTGGAGATGAGATTTCACCATGTTGGCCAGGCTGGTCTCGAACTCCTGACCTCAAGTGATTCACCTTCCTCAGCCTCCCAAAGTGCTGGGATTATAGGTGTGAGCCACGGCGTCAAGCCACTAATTTAATAACAACTACTACTATCTTTGCCTCTTCTAGACGTTTCATGTAAATGGAATTGTAACAATAAGGGGTCTTTTGTGACTGGCTTCTTTTTTTTTTTCTTCTACTTTTTTAGAGATGGGGTCTTGCTCTGTTACCTAGGCTGGTCTTAAACTCCTGGTTTCAAGCAATCCTCAGCACCCCAAAGTGCTGGGATTACAAGCGTGAGCCACTGCACCCAGCTGTGACTGGCTTGCTTCACTGAGTGTAATATTCATACATGTTGTTGCATGCACCAGTACTTGCATTCCTTTTTTTTTTTTTTGAGACGAGGTCTCACTCTGTTGCCCAGGCTGGATTGCAGTGGTGCGATTGTAGCTCCCTATAGCGTTGAACTCCTGGACTCAAGTGATCCTTCCACTTCACCTTCCTGAGTAACTGGGACCACAGGCATGCACCACTATGCCTGGTCTTGAACACCTGGCCTGAAGTGATCCTCCTTCCTCTGCCTCTGAAAGTGTTGGGATTATAAGCATAAGCCACTGCACCCAGCCTCTGTTCCTTTTTATTGCTGAGTGATACTCCATTGTATGGATATACTGCATTTTGTTTGTCCATTCAGAAATTAATAGACATTTGGATTGTTTCCATATTTTGTTCATTATTGTTTTTTAAGTATCTTAAAGTCTTTTTTTACATAACCATAATACCATTATCACACCTAACAAAATTAACAGTAATTCCTGCTACCCAGTTCATATTTAAAATTTTCCAGTTGTTTTATAGTTTATTACAATTAGGAGCCAAATAAGGTGCATATGTTGCATTTGATGGTTCTTGTTCTTAAATATCTTTTAAAGTAGACTATAGGTATCCACTTCCCACCTTGCCACTATTTTTTGCTTCATGTCATTTTTAAAACAAATTATGTCAGTTTTTCTGTAGAATGTTCCATCTTCTCTATTTATCTGATTGCTTTTCACACCTTGTAACTTGTTCTTTTGTTCTGTGTATTTCCTGTAAATTGGAAATGAGATTTAAAAGCTTGATAAAATTTAGGTTAATCATTTTTGGTAAGGTTTTCCATATGTAGAAAAAGTGTGTTTTATACCAATTATCATACTAAGATTGATCAGAGTTTTGAGTGTAAATATTTTAGCATCTATTGATTTTTGTCTGAATCACCTGTTTTATGAGGTTACAAAATGGTAATATTTCTAATTTGGTCATTTCTACATTTATTAACTGGAGTTCTTCTGTAAAGAGGACTTTATGTCATCAATTAGGTTATGTAAAATATAGTTCTTACTATATTTATTACTAATTAAGGGTAAACATTTCAGTTTTTTTCTTTACCGATTTTCAGGAAGGGGTTGGCGTAATCGTGACAAAGAAGTCTATACTTCTCGTTTCCCTTGACCTCAGAGGTAGAGGGCCTATTTGTCTGTCTTTTGAGGGTAAATTCATACACACACACACACACGTTTTTCCGTGTGACTAATAGCAGTCATTTTTCTTTTTGATACCCAGTTCAGCAAGTTTTGGATAGTGGTCCTTATGGTTTTATTTGGCTTTCTTTAATAATTAAGGTTGTGTTTATTTTCATATGTTTAAGGAGTATTGGTATTTCCTTTTCTGGGAACTGTCTGTTTACATCTTTTGGCAATACATTTTAATTTTTAACTTTATTGTATACAGTTGGATTGTGCCTTCGAAGTTTAATTTAGTTTAAGCCGGGCGTGGTGGCTCACGCCTGTAATCCCAGCACTTTGGGAGACTGGGGCGGGTGGATTACCTGAAGTCAGCAGTTCAAGACCAGCCTGGTCAACATGGTGAAACCCCGTCTCTACTAAAAATACAAAAAATTAGCTGGGCATGGTGGCGGGCGCCTGTAATCCCAGCTACTTGGGAGGCCGAGGCAAGAGAATCGCTTGAACCTGGGAGGTGGAGGTTGTGGGGAGCTGAGATCCGCGCCATTGCACCCCAGCCTGGACAACAAGAGCAAGACTCTGTCTCAAAAAAAAAAAAAAAAGTTTAACTTAGTTGATAATTAATCTGATGGCTTGGATTAGATGTATTTTATATTGAAGTGGTTACTTATTCTTGCTTCTGAGATCCTTGGAAAATTAAAGGTGGCTGTGGATTGGTGGGAAAGGTCATACTGGACATGAGCTATGGCATCAACAAATTTTGAAATCATTTCCTTAATCCTTGCAGAATTATCATTGAGTACTGCGAGTACTGCTGCTCATGTGATAGTGATACGACTTAGAGGAAGAAAGGGCAAAATGGAGAGCATGATTTATCGTCAAAAATAATTTTTCTTTTCACTTATGTAAATTCGAATGTAATTTATAAAGCTATTCCAAATTACAGTATATGGTTTTTACACTGAAATATACTAAAGTAGACTTAACTAAATAGAGGTATGTACCATGTTTAAGGAATAAGGAGACTGCTGTTAAAATGTCACTTCTTTTCAAATTGACCTATAGATTGAAGACAATTTGAATTAAAATTCGAAAGCCTTGTTTTGGAAGATTGGGGGATCTTGATAAGTTTATTCCGAACTGTATATGAAATAGAATAAAAAATAAGAATAACTGAAATACTTAAGAATAATAAGAATAAGAATAAATGTATGTGTATGTACTTGTTTTATGTGGAGCTGGCATATCAGTGGGGAAAAAGATGAACTTCTCAAAAAACAGTGATGGGAATAATTTGTTAGCCATTTTTGTCTACCTGTGCCAGTGCCTCACAGTTTAAGTTATTATGGCTTTATAGTTTATTTTGTTAATTGCTACTTTTACTCAAAAAAAATTTTTTTTGAGACAGAGTCTTG